AATAAGAAGGCTTATTACTCCCTTGGGAGTAAAAATGCTACGTTAGAACCGTACCGCGTGCGGTTTGTGGGTTAAAAAAATGGCTGTTTTTTTGATGCAGTATGATGAACAATATGAAGTGGCTACACACTCACACAGTAAATATGTTTTCTATTTGTTTTTAATATATGATAGTTTTTGAGAACATAGTACATCCCTATAGTAAAATATTCTCAGTACTTTGTGGAACAAAATACTTGCATGGGTTTAGAAGGGGCCTTGTTTAGGACACGCAAAACATAAACGTTTGCCTTTAAATGACAAGATTTGTTCAATCATTTACTGAATATGTATTGGATGGATAGTCTCTAACTTCAGTTTGAATCTAAAAAGGCATGATCTCAAGATAAATAATCTGTTTCACATAGTTAAGTGATCTTGAGACTAAAAAAATTCTATAATCATTCTTATTTATAAACCCATTTTATATCTTATATTTTATTTTAACTAGTGTCCCCGTTGCTCGTATTCGAGCAATTGCTAGCCTAAGTATTAAAGGCGTTATTTTAAAACAAATAACAGTCATAATTTCTGATGACTTTGAAAGATTCGACTCAAAGATTTCGGAAATACTCATGATGTAGGTACATAACAGATCGATATAATCACAATTTCTTGTAAATATCTTAACATTTTTTTTAAGCTGATCTTGTTTTTTTTTGTGTTTTCTACAAATAGCCTTACTCATAGCCGCATTAGGTTGCCCATAATAACATGATAGATTAAAAAAAAGTTCTATTTCTTCTCCTTGGTGGTGATCTATGACTTTTCAATGTTTCCATAGTTTTCAAATGGGCTCTTTCAATGATTAATCAGAATATGCAACGCAGTGTTAATTCAGTTTTCTTTTTAAGATATCAATTTATCCAGGCTCTCTCGATTTTTTCCATTGTAATATTTACGTCAACCCAAATTCAAATAGTAAACATTTCATTTCAACCAGTCAGTAAATGTTTGTAACAAACTGTTAAATTAACAAACTTATTGACTGTTCACAAAATTAACATGTTCTTCTTCTCACTTTTAATTTCTGACAACAGCTGGAGTTTCATAACAACTTTTGTTTCCCATGTTAATCTTATGGAGAAATACGAAACTTTAAAGGGCTCCAGGGCCTCACTCTCTAATTATTTCCCTAAAAAGAAAGTTTCCTGCACAACTTCACGTTACGCTCTTTCCAATGAGACCAAAAACATGTCAATCGGTTCAGTAGTTTCGGAGGAGTAATTGTCACAAAAATCCTGCTTGCGTATTAAATAAGTACGAGAGGTCGTCCAGTGGTCGAAACTCGACCAAAAATATGTAATGTACAGACTTCTCTATTTTCTCCCCACACTGTAAATAAAACATGTGATTTGAGTTTCCATTTGTTTTGATTTTCTGTTTATATTTCGTTGTTATTTCGTAACCAGCATAGCAACCCATAAAATCCATGTTAATTTTTTCAAATTTTTAAACTAATTTTTTGTGCTTATCTTTGAGCCTATTTTAATTTATAAAGGGATTCTGCACACCTACAGGAAAATAGCTTTCTAACGGTATGCGTAGATTTTCCCTACGATGCACATGAGCTGAGAAAAAAGGTTTTAAAGAAACATGCTTGCCTATTAATATATAGATAGATATGGATGCAAATCGTCAGCTGTATTGTAGGATATTATACGTGGACACAAAATCATACGAAATAACCCAAGGATCAGCTGGGACGGTGATTTCCTTAAATCCGATAAACACAACGACAAATCAAACGACATCGTCTCAAACCAAAATCACAGTGTCAAATAACGTTTTTGATCTTGGTAGGACAGTTGTGTGTAAATTTTCAACTCAAACAGCAAACTATTGTATTGTAATTGATATTTTTCCTACTTCTAGTAGGGACGCCATTCAAGATTCTTGTCATTCACCTATTGGGTCTGATGATGATTGGAGTGTCCAATCGAAATCGATCACCACTTACCATCTTTTTTGTATATTTACAGTCTTTTTAGTAACAGTATAAGCTTAAATATATGTTTTAAGTGTTATAAGACGTTTCTTTTATTTACTTTCCGTAGAATAATGTGTAACTGGGTACCGAAACCGGATTGGTTTTATTGCTCTCCTCACAATGAAAAGGGCACCAGTTTGATTCCAAGAAAAGTCGGTAGCTTTTTTATTATTCGGAACTGGGCACAGGTGTCTTTGGTCATTAGGCTTTTACTAAATAACCATAAAAACAAAAACATTTTATCTTTATTTGTAACAAATATACATATATCATATTCTATTTCACATCCAGATCCAACTCACAATCATCCAGGCTTGAATGTGCTCTTAGATCTGCGTATCTTCCTAAAATTAATAGTAATGGTAAGTACAACAAACTGTATGTTGAGGATAATTATTATTTAAGCCACGCTGTCAAACAGGTATTGTAGATGATAAGCTCTTGTTGCAACATAGCTGGATTGGTAAGCAATACCCATCATTTGTTATCTGTGTATGAACAAACATCATGTTAACCATGCTTTACACATTACACTAGTTTAAGTGAACCAATGTTCTGCAGTCAGTAGTGCATTTGTGTATTTTGAGGTAAATTAGCAATACATAGTAAACATTCAATTTGAAATAGGCTTCTGGTGATTTTGCTAATAAACAATCATACAGATAGTTATTCTAAAATGTTGATAAAATGTTATTGAAGTCAGTTGCGTCATGTTATGACAACAATACTGCATTTGTTCAGAAACCGTTAGCTACCTCGAAATTCTTTCCATGCAAATCGATTAGGTTAAGTTAAGATAGTTATTACATTATCGTGGTTTGCTAAATCATATCTAGTATTATCTAAAAAAAAAAAACATATATTCCGGCTTTTAAACAAAAATAACTGATATCATTAGCATTTAAACACTCTAAATAAATAAATATAAGAAATTATATAACAAAAGCATAACTTGAATACAGTTAGCAGTTAGGAGACAACGATTTTCGGCCCAGTATCTGTGCATAACTTGGAATAATCAATGATTATATGAAATGTATTATGCAATATAGGTTATAAAATATCAGCTGAACATAAAGTGTAAAAAGGCCATCGATGAGATAAGCTCAGTTAAATTATGAAAATATAAAGTTGTAGTAAAATAAATATCACAGAACATGCATTACAACTCTTGAATGTGTACAATACAAATAAAAAAAAACATTTTACTACAGAGAATATTAATTTTACACAGAATTGTTTTTACTCTGTGTCATATCCAGATTCTAGCTTCAGAACTTGTCGCTGAAAATCTGATCTCCCGCTGTTTAAAATTAGTGTGTCGCACACAGAAACGCCTTATACAATATTTCAATTGTCTCGTGCATATTTTCCTTCACGTACAATGTTCGAAAATATACTCAAGGTCAGGGGAAAACTAATAACAAAATTCAGTACATCAAATTAATACACTAAAATACGTAAATAGGTCACATCTGTCGCAAAATATTTTATGGATGTTGATGAAAGTATTTTTGAATCTGATGGAACATAGTTTCATTCTCTTCATTTGAATATCATCAAAACTGGATAATGCAAACGTAAGTAATTTCCATTTCAAATTCTCGCAATGAAACTCACTATTTTTGACAGTCGTGCAGATAGTAACGAACCCAGTTCATGTTACAAAAATTGTATATATGAAATGTTAATTGAGGTTGTGGACATTTTTGAAACAAAATTTTACGTGTTTTCTTTCATAATGCCTTATTATTCCAGATTAAAACAGTGTATTTGTAACTTACCGTTATATAAACCCAAATATGTTATTACTATTTATTTAAATTATTATATATTTTCATGAAATATGAATTTTGCTAGTAGACTTCTCATTCTAGTACAGTCCAATTATTAGTTTCATGTTGGTTTGTTGGTGCTGATAAAAAAATACATATTTCTCTCCTTTTATTAAAGCTGTATTTAATAGTTGTTCTTGCTAGTTCGTTGAAATACTAAAGCACAAGTGAATGTTTTACGAATGTATTACCCAGCCATCATAAGAGCCAGCAAGGGAACTGTATATTTAGACAATTTTGTTTTACAGATAGTTATACAATAATAAAAAAAACTAAAAAAAGGTCTTTAGCTAATCTAAAGGAAGTGCTTTCTCATATGAATTATGCTTTATCTATATCTTTTACTCGTCAACCATAATTATTTTAACTACAAAGAAAGTTTAAATAAAGATATATTCACATTTTAATAAAAAATCATATGGTTTAACCATGCAACACAAAATCGTTACCAGCAAAAATATTTTTGACAAAGAACTTTAATTTTATTTATAACTATACATCTTTTACTAAATAAAGATTTTTAGGAACCTTTTACATATGGCCAATACATTTTAGGAGTAGATAGAACTTCTACTATGAACACACAGTGAATGTTCTTCTTAGTACATTTTAATATTGGAGTAAGATAAAAAAAATGTTAAACAAGACTTATAAATTTACCTTCTTTCAGTTATTTTGCTAACGGTTCGTTCATATACCACTAATTAATGTAGTTAGAAGGCAAGTCAACATGTGAGGTTGTCAGTTGACAGTTAGTTGTGTTTTTTTACTCTGTGGCTCTTACGCTTTGACTGGCTTCTGGTTATGTTTACTCTATGTAGTGAGAAATCTAGGCTTCAATTAAATCGACAAGTTACAATTTTGTCCATTTTACTGATTGTTATAAAATAAGTTGTATGAATATAACTGGAAAACGCTTATCAATGTGTTGTACGGGATGGGATGTTTATGTTATTTACTTTTATAAGTATATTTAAAATAATTTTTTAACTGTTTTCTTTAAACTAGTGAAGCTGATTGTTGACAATTTTTAACTGTTTTCTTTAAACTAGTGAAGCTGATTGTTGACGATAAACAATCATAAAAATAAAAGGGGAATTGATGAGAACAATTTATTTGAAGTTTCATAGATAAAACTATATAACTGTACCGAATATCTTCTCTTCTCCGTCACCATCTTCTTCGTCGCCATATTCCCCGTCGCTCTTTTCTCCGTCACCATCTTCTTCGCCACTTTTCTCTCCGTCGCCATCTTCTCCGTCGCCATCTTCTCCGTCACCATCTTCTCCGCCGCCATCTTCTCCGTCACCATCTTCTCCGCCGCCATCTTCCCATGTCGCTCTTTTCTCCGTCACCATCTTCTCCGTCGCCATCTTCTCCGTCGCTATCTTCTCCGTCGCCATCTTCTCCGTCGCCATCTTCTCCGTCACCATCTTCTCCGTCGCCATCTTCTCCGTCGCCATCTTCTCCGTCGCCATCTTCTCCGTCACTCTCTTTTCCATTGCTCTCTTCTCCGTCGCAACATGTACACCATTATATGGTACATGCGCACCATTACAGCTTACATTTTACCATCGCATTTTTAAATGATACGAATTTATTTTTCTTCATGTCATTATGAATGAATGATTTTATATTCGCTTTTATTGCTTAGCAACAGAATTGTATAAATATCCACTTACCTTGTGTATATTTCATAGTGTGTAATATTTATGGCTACCGAAAAAGAAACTAGTAATATTTGTTAATATTAAATTATTTAAAAACTGTTATAATTATAGCTAGGGATTTTGATAATTTTTTAGAGACTTAAACATAAAATTTATGACAAAATTGCATGTTAAAAGTGCTTTTGCAAGCTGTATGTCTTAAGGCAGAATTTCAGCACTTTTGGTCTCCAGAACTTTTCAACAAACGAAATAATTCATATGTCTGTTGATTAAATCAAAATTTAGGGGAAAAGGTTTTGTACAAATATTTGAAGAGCATTTGATGGCATAGTTTAAATTTACAACTAATATTTGCAGTGTACTAAACTTGTTGGTTCACTTGTAGTAAAATATTCTACTCAAGAAAAATAGTACAAATAATGATTTATATAGCCTATATATTTTGTAATGAAGATCGGATAGGGCTAAAATTTAAACATTATATTTTCTTGGATTTAAATAAAAATTGGAAAGGATTGCGAAATAAGCTGTTCCAGAGTGATTTGACATCAACACCTGTCAAACACAAAGACAGCCGGAGGTAAAATATTTGCTTTTTTTATTGTCTGCCCTCTTTTGTACTACCACATTGTAATACATAGAATAATAATACTAATGATGGCGATAAACATAATCCTTTTGATTTATTTTGGTATATGGTACCTTTCTTCATACATACAAACAATTCATTATACGTGTATCTTCAAACATTAGTCAAATATTCGAAACAAGTTGTTTAAAAGTACGAACGAAGAGTAAAGACTTAGCAGGGACAATTTTATTCAGATGTGATCTAAGGTCCTAGAAATATTAGTTTCTTGATTTTATGAATAAAGATTAAAATGCTACCCATTTAAATATTTTTCTATTTTTCGTTGCTGTACCGTGACGAAATGTTAACAAAATCTTTATTTCCATTACCAATCTATTGATTGTTTCAATGATAAATAAGAAAAAAATTTGGGTTAACCGTTCCTTTTGCTTAGAAACCCTTTCCCTCATTGTTATCCTAAGCGACCTTAAGTTAAGTCATGAACTGAAATAATAGAAAACACACCAAACGAAATTAAATAAGAAGTCTATAGAAAAATAAACCATAATGCCCTATGAAGAATAGGTATTATACAAATAAAGAAAGCAAAAACCAGCTTTCTTTGCTGCACGTCCAGTTATGATGAATTATCAAAGTTACAAAAGTTGGGGCCGGAGCTGATATCATGTTTTCTTTAACTTTTCAGAATCTGTATTCTTCTGGATACCTCAACTTTGTAAACAAAAGAACTTACTGTACAATATCTGAGATACAGAAAAAGTTAAGTGAGATTGGAACAGCAGTTTCTTTTGTGAACATAAATAATTTAATATTTTTACCTTTCACCTAAATATGCAAATAGTATGTAATTAGGTAAGTCTCAAAGTAGGGTTTAATTTAGACCCAAAGACCGTTAGTCTCTGGCCATCAATGTTAATTATCCATCGATGTCTCTGTTCTGTGTTTATTGGTCTGTAAAATTGCCCTTGCCGCAGCAAACCTGCAGACTAAGTGGATTTCAATTCGACTGTAACATTTTCATTTAAATCTTTTTCCCTTTTAACCTTGTTCCTTATTTGAATAAAACTAAACTTAGTTAAAAGAGGACTTAGGTTTTCCATTTCAGAGGTAATAAAGTAAAATGACGAATTAAATCGGTCCCTGGTCTAGGTCTTACCATGAGACCTACGATAATAGCTCATTCTCTATATTAGCTAATCGACAGTTCAATATCAACAAGTACAAGCTTTGGGCAACTTCCTTGCAAAAAAAAAACTTTAACATTCCTATTTTGATAGTGTTAATGGGCTCACACACAATATAGAAGGTTACATGTTTTTATGATGGACCACTTCAAACACTGTTCTTGTAACCACCCTAAGTCGACCTTTTTGTACATGGCAATATCTGACAGCCCAATATACATCTGGATCTATAATCTAAATTCTTTCTCTATTATTCTAGAACTGTCTCCAATCTGGACACGAATCTCTAACTTTGAGATTTAAAATAACCCCTATACTAGCAATTTAGATTATTTAAACTTACTTATTTAAGTGAATAGGTTTTTATCTATTTATATTTTAGAGGTTAAGTGGTAGAGATGACTTACAAGTCCTAACTTCGCCTCTTAAATAAAGAATTTTTTCATTTAATTTCATTTGATATACTACACAGAGTATCAAATTTCAATAACTATGTAATCCCTTAAAAGTCACAACTCAGTTCTCGATATGATGTTAAACTATAACATGCACTATGCACAATAGCATCATGTAACTGTAAACCTACCACAAAACTGATTGTAAGTGATTTAACACAATGTAGCAGTTTGTTGTTACGGCGGACCATCAACCCAACAAAACAAAATACACAATGATCACAACAAAATTGCATTTGGAAATCAATGGCCAGTGGTAATAGTAGAATGCTTTGATTAAATTATTTAAGCGACTGTTTGTATAATGTATTGTTCCACTTTACTGTTAACATTTAGAAATATTTATAAATATGACCATCCCATTTTTATTTTTTTTACTTCTAAAGTTAAATTATTTGTAAACAATATAAGTTTAATGTCGTCCAACAATACAGTAGTGTTATGTACTAAACAATTGATAATCTTAACGTAAATTAAACAAATAGTGAAGATAAGGAATTTTTCCTACAGTTACCTAACAATGTACATGTTCTCTCACTGATTTGAGTAAGCAAAGTGGCCAATTCGCTCATCAGTGAGACAATGTTAACATTGTCTCACTCTAATTACTTTGTCTTACTCTAAACTCAGATTTGCAACGTCAAGGCACGAAATAGTGGAGCGCGTAACATGCAGGCAACGTAGTATGCGTGTAAAATACGTTGGCAGCACTGGCTGTAAATCAGCCGGTCAGCTGTTTTACTGTTGTATTTGTCACTTCACATTAAATGTTATATTAAAAGTTCTCTTCTGTGTAAAAATAGGTTATGTTTCTTCACCAATTTATTTGTTTTATGGTAACTGTAGGAAAAGTATAATGTGCAACTCGAGTTCAAAGTACAATTGCCTCACTCGAGAAACCATTCCTCACTCGCCTACGGCTCGTGAGTAAGGATTTCTCTCGAGTGAGTCAATTGCTCACTTTTCTCACTAGTTGCACAAATAACTATTTACTTCAATGAAGACTTTTATTGTTCACCAATATTGATATTTTCTGTCGTTTGTTTTGACATATTTTGTAAATATGATCACTGTAAATATGATGATTGTAAATATGATTTTGTAAATAAGTTGTCCGGATGCTATTAAAACTAGCTCTAGGTCGTGGCTTGAATTAAATACGCAATATGTAAATAACATATTGAATACATAAATAAATACATAAATTGACTGGGACGGGTGGCGTCGTCCTGTAATCCAGCTACTAGGAGGTCACGAATTGTGGATATTTATAGGCATGCACTGTGGATGCGATACTCCCTGGTGTGGACTAACGTCCGCACTAGTGAGTACTACTCCGCAGTGCTATCCTGATAATTAGACCAATTCGTAATTACCAAGGCAAAAATGTGGTTCGGATTCCACTATAAACTGTAGGTCCCTTAGTTCCCATTAACTTTATGGGCTATTAATTAACAGCTGTGTCTAAGGAATGTCGGCCTTTATCACTAACAGGACTACAAGATCGCGCCACTCATCCTCTACTCATCTCCATTCATACTTGGCTTAAAATACCTACTTTGTATGGTCGCCATTTCATAGAACAGGAAAGTATAACAGTACAAAAAAGTTGGTTACATACGACAGTGGCTAGCACATTGAGATATATTATAAATGTATAGACTTTGTTTTTAATCCATGCTTTTGAAAAATAATTGTTCGATGAATATGTTATTATTTCTACACCGTCACACAAAACTTCAACTTATTATCAAAGATGGGATTTTTAATCAATAATTTTGTATAAAATGTAAACATTTACTTTGAAAATATTGACCCACAAGTGTCCAGGCTTAAAAGATAATTTTAAAATCATGTCCTAGTTATTGCATGCTAATGTTATATTCTATATTGCATTTTTGTGTAATTATATCCTTTTTGCTAATACATATTATTCATCTATATTTTTAGCACAATATTCATATTTTTCTTTAAAATTTTAATAATTAAGAGTAAATGTAAGTTCATAAAATGAAAAATATAATTTTAAACGGATAAAAAATATAGAGTTGAATTTTATTTGTAAAGAAAAATAAATCCGCAGTGTTCTTTCAGCGGTATTTCTAAGATTGCCTGGGATATACGGTCACATCAAATCACACCGGGTGGCGATCGACATTGTCAAATGGGATTTTGGGATTTGTCTCCTGTCTGGCCATATTTTATGGTGACCTCTTTATAAAGATTTATATTTGAAAATTTGAAACATACAGTCTAAAAATATCATGTACTATAATAAAAACTAATGTAAAACAATGGAAATATGTGAAGAGGAACTGTCTTAGTTGAGGATAAAATCATATTATTTTGTCACCTTTTAACATTTTAACGATAAAATGTACATATTTAAGACGTTTTTGTCAACTGTCATGTTATTCAAGCCTAATTTTCCCCAAATTGAAGTATTTGTTGGCTAATAGTTACAATTTTGGTTATTTTAGATATGGTGCTTAGTATTCAATTGTTTGACGCCATTATTATGCAGCTTGCCGCACTTTTGAATAGAAACCACACGAGTACTACGATTCAATTATTAACGAAAATAGATGAAGCTAACGGGGC